AACTAGCTTCATTAGAACGATTCTAGTGTCTACTACAACTAGCACAGGGTAGTATATCCTATACGTTATAGTATCTAATATAGAGTAGAGTAAAAGTATCTACTAGAACTATTATAGTGTAGTATATCATATATATTATAGTACCTAATATATATTATAGTACAGTAACTACTAGAACTATTATAGTGTCTACTACAACTATTATAGGGTAGTATATCGTATATATTATAGTATCTAATATATATTATAGTTTAGTATATACTAGAAATGTTATAGTTGCAGCAATAGCAGCATTATTAGTATTCATATTAGCATTATTACTATCAGTAGTAGTGATATTAACTTTATTATCAGGAGTGTTCCTGTTATTAGTATCAGTAGTAGCGTTATCAGTGATAGCATCGTTATTACCAGTGATAGCAATAGTAGCATTATTAGTAGTATTACTTTATTATTCTCAGCAAGTAGTAGTATTAGCATTATTATTAGTGTCAGTAGCAGTGGCATTATTAGCAACAGTAGTAGCACAAACAGTAGTAGTAGTAGTAGCTACCACTAATTAATGCTACTACAAATAACAATGTCAGTTCTATTGCTAATGCTAATGCCAACCTATGAGCATTAGTAGTAGAACTGACATTAGTGCTAACGGATATTATTAATGCTAATGTATTCACACTAGTAGAATGGACATTGGTGCTAATTGACATGATTAATGCTAATATATTAACATTAATGTAATCGAGATTAGTGCTAATTGACTTTAATGCTAATGTATTAGCATTTGGAACACCATTGACATGATTGGAAGTAGTAGCATTAATATTAGCATTATTATCGCTCTCATTATCATTACTCGGAGCATTATTGTTACCACTATGATTGCTATCAGTCCTATTACAATTCTTTACTACTTTATGCCAACTGTATTGTTGGTTCCATACAAGATCTCGCCCTATAAGATCCTTGCCTCTGGCATCCTTTCTGGCCATGAAAGCTACAGCCTGGCCCTTCCCCTGCCAGGATGACTGTTGCATTATTGGCAATATCAAAGAATCCCAAAGACGGCGATAATGACAGTGACGATGATAATCCCAAGGGGAATCTCAGCTTCTGGATGGTGGGGGGTCTTTCTTTTTCCCTCGCGCCTTCTAAATCGCTTCAACTGAACCAGGATTTTCACTGGCTCCATCCAAGCTTCAGAGACCCTTGGCGGAGCCATTAGTAAAGCTGGTTGCCGTGTCCCATCCGTGCAAAGGGCCTTTATGTGCCAGCACGGCTGGAGACTTGCCAAAGGATCCCTCCCCGCCCCGCCCAGGAGAGCGGCCGCCGAGGGTCAGCGGGGCTGAGCCCGCCAGGGTTGTCCCGGGGGACCGGGGCGGGTGTTTCTCGGACACGACTCCCCGGGGCTGCAGGGGGTGTGCGCACGGGGGGCAGGTCCCGTGAGCCCCACGGAGGTGCTGAGCGCTGTCTTCCTTCCTCCCCAGAAAGCCGCCACCATGTGTGATGAGGATGAGACCACCGCGCTCGTGTGCGACAACGGCTCCGGCCTGGTGAAGGCTGGCTTCGCCGGGGACGATGCCCCCAGGGCCGTCTTCCCCTCCATCGTGGGCCGCCCCCGCCACCAGGTGCCTGCCCGGGCCCCGCCCCCTACTCCCCTTAGCCACTCCCCCTTCCCATCGCAAGCCCTGCCCTGCTCTATTGGCAACGCCTTCATCCCCCTAACCACGCCCCTTCCAGGCTGGCCCCGCCATTTAACCACGCCCCTTCTCCCGCTAGTCCTGCCCCCTCTCCCCTATAAACCTCGCGCCTGCTCTGTTGGCCACGCCTCCATCTACCTTAACCACACCCCTTCCACATTAACCCATCGAGCCATTTAACCAGGCCTTTTCATTATGGCCACGCCCGCTTCTATTAGCCCCACCCCTTTCCCTCTCAATCCCGCCCATGTTCTAGTGGCCGTGGCTCCACCCTACCTAACCACACCGCTTACTACATAGATCCTCCCATCTAACACCGCCCCTTTCGACGTGACCACGCCCTCTTCTGTGCTTAGCCCTGTGCAGTGCTCTATTGGCCACGCCCCCACCCCTTAGCCGTGCCCCTTTCCCTATCAACCCCGCCCATGTTGTTGGCCTGGTCTCCACCCCCACTAACCAGGCCCTTGCAATTACCACCCTTTTCAATGTGGCCACGCCCCTTCCATGATCGGCCCCACCCAATGTCCCATTGGCCACGCCTGCATTCCACCTTAGCCCAGTCCTTTCTCTCTCAGCCCCGTCCGTGTTATCTTGGTCACGCCCCCACCCCTTGGCCCCGCCCCCAGGGGTGTGCTGTAGTGTGGAGCTCTGCTTCCCCGCGCTGCCTGTCCTGGCAGGTGCCCCCGCCGCAGGCGCCCTGTGGGTCTGGCCCGGAGCAGCGCTAACGCCGGGTTTCCCCCCTCCCCGCAGGGTGTCATGGTGGGTATGGGTCAGAAGGACTCGTACGTCGGGGACGAGGCGCAGAGCAAGAGAGGTATCCTGACCCTGAAGTACCCCATCGAGCACGGCATCATCACCAACTGGGACGACATGGAGAAGATCTGGCACCACACCTTCTACAACGAGCTGCGCGTGGCCCCCGAGGAGCACCCCACCCTGCTCACCGAGGCCCCCCTCAACCCCAAGGCCAACCGGGAGAAGATGACCCAGATCATGTTTGAGACCTTCAACGTGCCCGCAATGTACGTGGCCATCCAGGCGGTGCTGTCCCTCTATGCCTCCGGCCGTACCACCGGTGAGTGCCCTTGCCCCACGCCCGGCCCCCGCC